TTGACCGTGATTGGCCAATTTCTTAAAGCTTAGGGCTTAAATCATCTATTGTAGACTGGGACTAAGTCTCAGTCTACAATAGATGATTTAAGCCCTAAGCTTTAAGAAATTGGCCAATCACGGTCAAGTATGAGAAGAATGCGCGACTGTGATTAGTCAATTTCTTAAGGCTTAGGGCTTAAATCTCTATTGTAGACTGGGACTTAGGTGTCGCTTAGAGACCCCTGAATCGTAGTGTGGCGGTCGTGGCGGTCGTGGCATGTTTGACAATCGCGTCAGAATTTTACCTTTTCTCTTCTTACGATTTACGAGAGTTACGAGAGTTACGAGAGTTACGAGAGTTACGAGGCGATCGCTAAATCGTCCAACCGCCAACGTATGATATATGTACGTGCTATTCCATCCAATTGCTTTCTCAACAATTTTCAATTTTATTAGTGTCTGCGCTATTGTTCAACACACTTGGTCGACAAGTCGACATTTCACCACGGATATTTCTAACGTTTCAGCTTTGTTTACAGTCGAGTGCGTGCCGATAGTCTCCTAACCTTTCTTTCCTAGGTTACACCATCTCCTTACAAATGGCGGATAAGGCTATGATGAAGGTATGTTTCTCTGCATATTCGCGGCAAAATACTTGCTCGATTCCATTCTAACCTGTGCTTGCAGCAAATCGCGGAACAAAAGCTCAAGGCCTTCTCCATTGGTACAATGGGTAAACGACCATTGAGTAAAAAGGAACTGGAAGAGCAGCGCAAGAAGGAGCAGGAGCAGGCTGCGGCTCAAGTAAGTCTAACCCCTCCCCCTTTATTTATATTTCAATGATTTCAATGAATTCAATCAACTAAACGTTATGCGATTAGGCATTTGAAGAATTTGTGGCGACCTTTCAAGAGACGCCCAGTAAGACGACTAGTAAGGTTTGGGTCAAGGCGGGAACGTACGACGCCGGCAAGAGACGTGAGTGACGAGTATAACATTTGATCGAATTGAAGTGATATATGTACGACGAAAACTGTTAATTCGTAGAGGAGGACACGAGAGAGAAAGGAAAGCTTTATAAGCCACAGTCGAAACTCTCGGAACTAGTCGACAACAGGTCGTCGGCTGAACAAGCTCAGGAATATGCCAGACTACTTGGGACAAACGAACGGAAACTGGACAGGCTGGGCAAGAAGAAGAAGGAGGGTGAAAAGAAGAAGAGCAACCTTGAATTATTCAAAGAGGAGTTGAAGATGATTCAAGAGGAACGTGAAGAGAGACACAAGTACAAGGGTGCGGTGAAAACTGTAATATCCGCCCAATCTGAAGATCCCATGTTGGCTGCTCTAAAATGTGTCGAAGGTATGTATGCACCAGCACACCTCGAGCACACAAGTGACAATAGCATAATTAAACCTTTAGTAGGTAGTAGACCCTCATTTCCAGATCCGCGAAAGGCTAATCTGCATAACTTGGTTGACGATCCCCATCTCTTAGCCCTGATATACGAGGGTAACCATTGTCCATCCTATATCTTTTTCCTCCTACCACTTTTGTCCCTGTTATAATTGCAAGACTTGTATCTTTCTCATCATTTTCATCTTTACAGATGGCTCATTCGACAATGGTGATCCAAATACCACAAACTTGTACTTGGGCAACTTAAATCCCAAGGTTAGTGTACGTGTACGTACAGTGTACGTAACGTTACATATTGTAGCGCACAATTGATTACGATCTTTTGCCTGTTGCACAGATCACGGAACAGCAATTAATGGAGATATTTGGCAAGTATGGGCCTTTGGCTAGTATAAAAATCATGTGGCCACGTAGCGACGAAGAGAAAGCCAGACAAAGGAATTGTGGTTTTGTTGCATTCATGAGTCGCAAGGACGGGGAGCGTGCATTGAAAAATCTTAACGGTGAGTTCATATTTCAAATGAGTAAATTCATATTTCAAATGAGTAAATTCATCATTTGTTTGTTTGTGGGGGGCGAGGTAGGTCGTGACATAATGCAGTACGAGATGAAGCTGGGTTGGGGAAAAAGCGTACCAATTCCACCTTACCCTATCTATATTCCACCTGCTTTGATGGAAATTACGCAGCCACCACCCCCATCGGGTCTTCCGTTCAATGCTCAGCCACACCGACGCGACAGACACAAGGTACACGAAATGATTTCAAGAGCGCAATTAATAAACTGCTCAACTATATGTCTAAACAATATCGTTTTCTTCCTATTTAATTAATTACCCTCGCGCGAATAATCATATTTTAAATATTTATTAGTCACACTTTTACGTACGTTGATCGTCGTCGTAGGATTACGAATAGGATTTCTACCTTTTGCTAGAAATAGCTAGCTTTAAGGTTTCATGAATATCTGATACACGTGTCCTGGTGAATAAAATTTTTTCAACTATTTATATTTCTCGTTTAATCGTCGATTTTTAGCCTCAGTTCATCTTGATAGAGTAACTTGACAGTACATTATTCCATATACATATTTAACAAGTTGATTTTCTAATAATTTTCCAAGTAAAACACCACATGGAATTTTTCCAAAACCATTTTCCTTGATAAAGTGGTTGATTAAGTAATGTTTCAATTGTCATAAACCTTTTCGTTATTTTAACGTTAATGTAACGTTGGAATGGCATAACCATTTTTGAAACATAATCTCAGATACCACGTATCCGCAACCTCCAGAGCGCGGACCCGCAGGAAAAGGAAAACTTTGAAAAGGTAAAAATCCTCTTCTATGAACCATTCTCAACCTTTAATAGCTTGAATTAGATAATAATCCTAGATATGTAAAACCGATTTCGCGCGCGCGCCCGCGCAACAAGCAAAAGACTTCAAGACGATAATATTTTCTTTCGTTGTAACATTAAAATTGGTAAGTTGTTTGTGAGAGGCAAGCATTTTATGTTTATCTACTTTACAAGTCGATAAAGTAGAAACGAGTTAATTTATATATATATAGTGGTTGCTTTCCACTTAGTGATTGACACAAATGTTATTTAGTGAATCAACATCTAGAAAGATAGTTGCGTCACTAAATGGAAAACACTCGGTGTAGAATACTGTACTATATTTTCATGTAAAATAACAATTCTAATTATCTTTACGAATTGCGTTGTGGTAATTTATTGGTGACCACGCATTTTTTGGGATGTACCTTTTGGCATTTGGATTGGAACGTCCTGTCATCTGTCGTTGTTGCACTATTGATCTGGACTATAAGGTTTTGCAGAATGCTGTTGTCAAAGTGGTTATACCAACGGAAAGGTATTTGTTGATTTTAATATCATATTGACAAATCTGTAAGTATGTAACTGTGAAGAATATTTATGCTTCTGTTGAATCAAGTATTTTGTGTCAATGGGGATTGACACAAAATACAAATGCATACTTAATCGAGTCGTGCGTTATAGGAATTTAGTCATGTTAATACATAGAATGGTGG